TTCCCCAAATTTTGGCCAACTTACATGATTTGTGGTTGGTAGTATCTTGAAGTACCAGTATCTTCCAGTACTTGAAGGGGCCTACAAGGGTGCTGGGAGAGGACTTTTTACAAGAGCGTGTAGTGACAGGACAAGGGGTAATGGGTACAAATTGAAAACAAGGAGGTTTAGATTAGAGATCAGGAAGAAATTCTTCATGGAGAGGGTTGTGAGGCACTGGAACAGGTTGCCCAGAGAAGCTGTGGATGCCCCATCCCTGGGTGTCTTCAAGGCCAGGCTGGATGAGGCTTTGAGCACCCTGGTCTAGTGGAAGGTGTCCCTGCCCATGGCAGGGGGGTTGGAACTAGATGATCTTTAAGGGCCCTTCCAACCCTAACCATTCTATGATTCTATGATTCTATGAAGTCTATAGCTAGCATGAACCAAGTATCTTCAGTGTGTAAGCATTCAAGATCTGCTTATAGCCATTTGTACCTTTACACCTGCTCTCTAGAGACTTATACAAGGGACTGGCTCACACTAGAAGTATACATCTCTTGGTAAGAGAAAAAAATCAAAAGGAAGGGAGAAGAGAAAAAATAAAAGAGAGAAGAGAGAAGAGAGAAGAGAGAAGAGAGAAGAGAAGAGAAGAGAAGAGAAGAGAAGAGAAGAGAAGAGAAGAAAAGAGAAGAGAAGAAGAAAAGAAAAGAAGAAAAGAAAAGAAAAGAAAAGAAAAGAAAAGAAAAGAAAAGAAAAGAAAAGAAAAGAAAAGAAAAGAAAAGAAAAGAAAAGAAAAGAAAAGAAATCACAGTATCACAGAATTCTGTTATATAAAAAAGTCATGACACCTTCTTGGGCTGGAAGAAACCTACAGGATTTTGAAAATCTCTTCTTCTTGCCTTGCTAATTCTTTTCTTCTTAGCTGAATGCCATTTCACTGGGAAAAGGGGATTAGGACAAAACCCAGCCCCAGGGTATGTCATGCCATGGTGCAAGCTGTGATGAGAATGCCTGAATCCTCAACTCCCCAGAGTGGGAACAGGTAAAAGACAGGGCTGTGCTGGAAAGGACCTTGCCTTCCAGCAATGAAGATATGTAACTCAGGGTTCTGCTGGTCATTAATGCTCAAGGGAACACACATCTGGTCACTCAATGCACATCCAGATAAAATTTCTGGGAAGGACATTTTAGTGTTGTAGCTTGCAAGTTGCAGCTAGAGGCGACCCACTACCAATGCTTCTTTCAAGTACTTTCATGTATTAACAAGGGTAATTTATGATTTGAGAAGTGTTTGTTGACCTGAATCTTCCTTGTGCTCTCTATGGTAACCTGCTCTGGCACCACTCCTTAACTTCTTTTGGCCAATAAATTTTCTCTTCCCTCACGCACATGTTAGTGCAAAGCAATACTATGTCAGAAAAGGCAACAGCTCACACAGGAGCAAACTGCTATGGTTTCCTGCTTTGGTGCTGGGCACAATAGATGCCTCTAAGCAGAACCATCTGTTACAAAACCACACCCAAAAAAGTTGGAGCTTTCTTCTGAAGTTTTTGCTAACCTCAGTAGAACAGGGAAGTTACTTTCCCTAAATCCTGCACACTCTTAACAGTGCCAGTCGTTTGAACAGCTGCAGAAGCAGGACATTGCTGGGAGTTGTTTATTTTCCTGCAGTGATACAGAGATCTTACAATGGAAATAATTCCCTGTGCTCCAGTGAACTCTGTTACCCATGGTAGGAGCTTACTTTGCAGAAGAAACTTTTTCTGAAGGCAAAATATCCTAAAATGCCTGGAGACAAGATATTATGCACTATTCTTTGAAGTGGGCAATGGTGACCACTCCAAGGAATGAATGGTCCTGATGACAGGTCGGAGAGCAAGAACAGGCATCTAAAAATATTATATATCAGTTTGATGGTGAAAGTGATAAAACCCAGGAAAAACATTTTTAGTAATCTTCATGGAAATCTCACATTCTTTCACAAATCCTCCTTCTCCCCCAAACTGCATTGAACAAGATGAGTTGTTCTAAGCATAGCTTTTTGCTTCTGGTCATTTTTAACAAAAGCAAGAGACATTCTGACATTAAAGGTACAAGTTACACAGGTAATTAGGTATCAGTCTTGGGACTGAAGTAGTGCTGTCTTACCAGCTACTGTGCATGTTAGAGAGCTTCTTGTAGTTCAAATCTTAACTCAAATTCAAATGTTCTCTTTATCAGAATCAGAACAGGGACTTAAATGTATGTTTCCCATAACCTGCCCTGTGTGGGCTTTTCAGTTGGCTTTGCCTCGTGCTAAATCTGTTCCATTTCCCAGGGTAAGCTAGATTTAACCAGACCAGAGGACAACTCAACTACAAAGGCTTTATCTAGCAGGGATGACACCATGATGCCATTGCTCTTCTTCCTCTACTGTATTGAAAATGGACCTAATTTACATTATTAAACTGGCTCAGGAAACTAGTTCCAAGAAGAGGAACTATCTTAGAACTAACACTTCTATCCTTGAGCTGAGGCTCAGGATCCCACAACTGCTCCAAGACCACACAGATATCACCAATACCAGAGATGAGTTTATCTACTCTATTTCCTATATGGAAAAGAGCCTTTATGCTAAAGAAATTTCACATTTTCCTGTTTTCCCTTTCAAACAAGACTGAAAAATCTGTCAGCTGATTATACAGACCATTCACAGAAAAGCCATAGTTCAGAATACATCTGTCTCAGTCCAAAGCTGCTGTTTGCCATTAATTGCTTATCAGCTATATTACATGTAACATGAGGTCACCAAAGTCTAGAGCAGTATCTAATTTATTCAATACTCAGTACTCCTAGCAGGAGCCTATCAAGTATGGATAGATGCAAAACTCTTGAGCTCAACAGAGACTTGTCATTAGGACCTGCAGATGACTTCTCTTCTGCATAGTACTAAAAAATGCCTCACAGCTTCCTTGGGATGCCGTGAAAGAAATGGAAAGGCTCAAGCACTGCCTTTAGGCTGAGATGCGCACACATGGGTAGAAACAATGATGGATGTGTGTTGGAGCAGATTTAACTTGTGGTGCAAACATATACAAGTACGTGGGCTCTATTCAGGAATGAAGAGCGGCTGGAGTAAGTTTTCTAAATTGTCTCAAATAGCTAAAATCACATTGACATTCAAATTGCCATTGCTTTCCCCAAAAGAATAGTGCCCAGACATTTAAAAAGTCTAAACATGGACCCACTTACATCTGTATGTGCTTAAATAAGATTTAAGCTCCAGATGGATAGATCCAGAGGCGATTGGATTTGGGTCCTAAGTGGTATGTCTCTTGTGAGAACTCAGTGTGTACTCCCAAGCCGCACTGGTGCTTTTGAAAATTATACTCACTGCAGAAGGTTACTGGTAGCGTGCAGGAGGATGCCAAGCACTTTAATTAAGAAATGGGAAATTTATACAAGGATCTACCTTCTCTAGATCTACCTCGTGTTTGTCTCAGGTTTTATGCTCTCTCCTATTACCCCAGTTTTAGGTTGCTTCACAGAACACCAAACCAGCAACAGCCAGGGTGTTGCTCAAGAGGTATGCGGGGGGGCTCAAGAGGTATGCAGGGGGCCACGGCAGAGGGTTTGTTGCTGTTGCAAATTCCTTCTCTATTTATACTGGGCCACTTTATCCAGTAAGAAGGGTTTGCAGTCTTCTGATCTGAGAACTCTAAGTGCTGACACTGGAGGTGAGTCACTTCCAGAGGTGAATGAGGTGCAAGAAATAAGTATGATGGCAGCCTTTCTCGATCAGCTGAGCGCTACCTGCTCTGCCTTGTGTCCATCACTGATGCCACCATCATGAAGAACCTATGGGTCTGTCAGAAACCTGTTAACATGTTTCCTCCACAGAACAAACAGGCAGAACTGAAGTCTGTGTGAAGGATCACGCAGTTCACAAGAGAGCCAGTGTGAAACACATGCATGGCAATTTTAAATAGATTCTTGTCTAAGAACAGCTTACAATTTTCAGCCAATGTTTTAATAATATCTGTATAACTAAATAGAAACATTGGCTTGCAGACAAGGAGCTTTTAAGACTAATTATTGATGTCTTCTTGCTGTTCAGAGATGCTTCTTACAGGTTTCACTTGTAGCATGTTTCTCAGGAGTTAAGTTCAGCCTTTGCACAGGGTTGGTATCAGTCATGTAAGTCCTTCCCTGTGTAGTATTAAGGGATTTGAACAGCACACGTATCTTGTGCTGGCCTTCTCCATGGGGTGAAAACTTACCTTCATACTTTCAGTGTCAACCCCTGAACATATTCATGCAAGCATCAAGCACCCTCACAACCACATGCTACTATAAATGTAGGTGTTCAGTGATAAAAAGTGAGTCATAAATCATTACCCATACACCAGCTGAGACTATAGAGTGAAGTCAATGACTGGCTATCGATGTGGAGCATACAACTACTTATAATGTTTTGGGTTCTATGACCAATTCAAAAGGGAACAGTCAGTCTGTGCCTGGAAGCGAAAGTATGCTACCACAGTCTGGTCATACAACAGCATCGAAAGCTGGCCCCTGACCTATGGACTCTTTCCTTACACTCTGTATTTAGGACAAGGAAGAGCTGGCAGAAGCAGAGAATAGAGAAGAGGGCAACAATAAGACAAAGTGTGGTGGCACTCGGCTTGCCCTGTCATTGTCAGAAGCTGGAAGAAGAAGAGAGGCAAACAGCTGATATTTAGTGTACGTCACCTGAGTTCAAGACAGCTGGCAGAACTAGAGTTTTTGATGTTAACCATGCTAAGAAATGATGATCTATATGAAAGTTTATTGCTTTGCTGCACTTCTTACTCTATGTTTCTCCCTCCTGGGCAATCTGAGTTTCAGAAATAATCTCCCTCATATTTCTGAAATATGAGGGAGCGCCTCACTGGTGCTTTCAGAATGCCATTGCTCTTGCACCTGAAGTTTTCTCCCCATCTGTTTCCCCCCTTCTCTGTGCACCTGCTTGGAGAAGGTCTATCAACAGCGTAAAAACATACCAAAGGGGGGGACGCGCTCCGCTTCTGTCGAGCAGACGTTCTCCTCATGTGCCCGTCTGCCATAGGTGGCAGAGTAGATGATAAGGAACTTGGACTCCTGACAGTGGAGTTTCAGTTCCTGGTTTTCACATGCTGATTTGGTTTTGTATTCAGCTAAAACAGAAGCAAATAACAATATGGTAGCATGAGGCAATTCACTCGGCTGGACTGTTAGTAGCAAAGCAGCACGACAGCGAACAGCTTTTCTGCAAGTTCTGTTGGGAGCCATATGTGGCACTATTACAACCAGAGACAGAGCCAACAGCAAAGTGGAGTGCCTTCTCCAACTGAATGAATCCCATATGACTATCTAAAGCCTCCGACTCCTTTTTGGAAGGAATTAAAAAGTTAACTTTTGTCAATCCCCTCTCCCAGTTGAACATTCTCCCTCCCCCCAGCCTGATTTCCTGGCTTGCGTTCCACCCCTGCTCAGTAGGAGAAGCCTCGTCCTTTCCTTTTGTCTCTCCCAGGGACAATGTTGCATTCTAGGCCTACTTGGGATGCCCGCCCAAGTGTCAGGAGCCTCCGACCACTCATCAATCATGGGGAAAGCTGGCATCACCCAGTGCCACTGCATACAGCACAGAGCGAGCGCCGAAGAATGGGAGGCACAATGCCATGGGGACGGGCTGCATCCCCTGAGCCAGAGAGTGCTCTCGGCTCTGCTTGCACAGCTCCCCCAAGGTCGTGGGCGTGACTATCCACCAAGGGCTCTTTGAAAGTTCTGCTGACAAAGCACTGCGAATCAGGAGGCTGAGAAAAGCACCCCACTCCCCCTCTCAGCTGGCATGGGTACACCAGCAGCGCACTCAGCCCGGAGGTGGGGAAGCCAGTGAGATTGTCTTCCAGGCAGCATGGTTTATCCCTTGGAGGGAACTGGTTAAAATCTGCCCTCTGGCCAAGGGGGTCTCTTGCTGGCTTAAGCAGCTGCTCTGCTTGCAGCATTTTACCGCCCAAGTCTTCCTGGCCTAGGTATGGTGGCAAATTTTTTTGGTACAGGTAAGGCCAGGGAGAAGAGTTTCTTCTACTCCATCTTTTTGTCTTTCAAAAATGTAAAAACAGGAAAAGGAGTTTGCTGAGCTGGGCAGGAGAAAAGGGAAAGCTTATTGTTCCTGTGTGGTATCCCTGTGAGTGAGTGTGGGTGTTGGTGCTAGGGGAACTGAAGAGAGAAAAACCTCCTATCTATTCAGTAAAGAAAACATTATTGTTTCACTTAGAATAGAACAGATAAAAAAATGGGTTAATGTTCTTGGTAATAGTCCAGTTTCTTCCATTTGAGCTTGTCAGCAGTCACAAGTTTAAGTCTAAAAAGAGTGATTTTAAAAAAATACTTGACCTGCTGCAGACTTACTTCTGCAGAAGCACCTGCCATGCCATACACCCATGAGGATTGTGCCAAGAAAACAGAGTCTCTGACCCAAGGGCTGACAGCCTAAAGCGGGGCTTTGTGTCTGTTCGTCTGCACCCCGCGGTTGCTGGAGAGGCTACAGAAGTACATTCAACAGAAAAAAACCCACAAGTGGTATAAGACAAAGGTAAGAATCACAGAATCACAGAATGGTTTGGGTTGGAAGGGACCTTAAAGACCACCTAGTTCCAACCCCCCTGCAATGGGCAGGGACACCTTCCACAAGAATGCAACAGACACCTCTGCAGAGATACAGCAACAGAGGAAAACATGCTATTTCTAAATAGATGAAAAACTGAGGGATTCAGGCAATTGCTTAAGTGCCCACTTGAAGGCAAGGAGATTGTAAAATCTACTCAAGTTATACTCAAGTGATTTCCTGAGTAAGGATGTTTTCCACAGCCAACCCTAACAATATTGGTATCTTACCTACAAATAGAAGTTTCCTGTCACATGAAATCTGTAATTTGCACTGGAACTGGACTATTCTTCAGCTCTGAAGGCAGCACTTGTTGTTAAATACACTTTTCACCAGCTTTTGTAAAATCCAGATTAAAGAGAATATTATATATTCAAAGTAGCCCATTTCCAGTGGGAAAAATATTAAGCAGCTTATAAAAGTAACAAGCAGGATCCCAATCCACTTTTGATTAGTAAAAAGAAATTTTGAATGACAGTCACAGCTATGATATTCAAATCCATCTACTACATTAGCAATGTAGTAATTGTAATTGTAATACATTAAAAAATCTTTAAACTGTACGATAATAAAACAGATCATAAAAGTGTTAATTCTCTGACATTTTTTTCCACTGATGATTGACCCAGTAAATCTCCCTGGGAGTCGCTGTGTCAATGCTTTGCCAAAGGTAACACCTGCCTACTCCGTTCCCATATCTCTGCTATGACTTCAATACTCTGCATAAACTGGCCCTTCAGTTTGCTTGCCACCCCTGCTCCTATTCCACCAGTGATGTCTATCTTAATGTTCTGATTAAAGACAATCTCTTTTGTGCTTTCTCCTTTAGTTGTGGGATGGTATTTCTGAGTTGGCTAGTGAACCTACCCATAAATCATCGTTCAACTATTTTCTTTGGGACCCGTTTCAGCCACACTGGGGATTAGCTGCCAAAAAAAGCTGAGCCCCCGGGCTACCAGGGCTTGTTCTCATATACAATAGCAACAAGAAAAACAATTTTAAAACACCAAGAATGAAACCTCATCATGATTGTCTTAATCTTTCTTACACTTTTCTCATGTTTACAGAGTGCATTCTCTTCGAGGCAGGATTTATCCCTTTATATATCAATGTCAATTACCTGCATAGAATATAGGTGATTCTACAGTGACATTCTGTAACAAAGGTAGTCACGCATGTGTATCCTCCAGCCATTATTCCATAAATTGGAGGTAGTGACAGAGGATTTTGAAAGCTTTGGTTCTACCTCTTTAAGTGGTTTTGCATATTCCTTATGATGATTATCTTCTTCATCATTTGGATCCTTAGCCCCAGCATCTGCTTTTGCTGTTCAGCTCTATCTTTCTAATATGACATTATCATTGCCATCTCTTTAAACATAACTTCCAAACATTTTTCCTTTCTACTCTGATGGCTGACATCTGACTCTGCCAAACTACGTCGGTCATTGAATTGGCAGAAAGCACACTGAAGTTGTAAACACAGTGGAGAGAAAGCAGAAAAAACCCCGATTTCCTATTAATCTCGGAGTCTCAAAACTTCACATTGATTTATGCAGAGCCTTGTGCAGTGGTATTTTTACCAAAACAAACAACAAAACACGCACAAAAACACATTTGCCTGATGTGGATTACTTACTAGGTTTGCATTTAAAGGAGACAAGGAGGAATTTAGTGGTCCCTGGACACAGATCAGGTCCAAAAACCCGACTATTGACAAGGAGTTGGCAGGATCTCAGGTTCTGGCATTCATCCAGTACTTTCTAGAACAACGGGCAAAAAGGATAGGCTTGAAAACAAGGTATGAAGCTATGCAGCAATGAGAAGACTTACATGTACTTTGTTCTATACATGACAGAAATCATTCCTTCACAACTTTTTGGTGACAAATATGTAAGAAACACCTGTATCATTGGATTTAAGCCACATGTCTACCAAATTTTGAGTCATGGCCAAGTTTATGGTAACACATTCATCAGAGCAATGCCCATGGCAACTTAAGATGTTACCCATTTGCTGCTGTCACTTTTCCCACTGTCTCCAGCCAGTGGGCCAGATCTCACTGTACCACCACAGCCCCAGTGGTGTCTGAGACGCCATGCAGAGCCCAGAGCGAGTGGGAACATGCTCAGTCCCCAGTCTCTGCATGGGCGTGCCTGAGGCCCTCACACACTCCTGATAATATTTATTGGAGTGCAGTGTCCAGGTGAAGCAAGGTAACTCAAAAATATGTCTTTTTAACAATTTAATCTTGATCTACTTCAGTTTACCTGCACATGCTCTGTAATATCTTAACCTGAAGAGTAATAGTTTCACTTGAAAGAGTTCTAACTAATGACTTGGTGTGCTTAGTGACACCTAAGCACACCCCCAGCTTTAAGCCATATGTAGGACCTCCTGCGTAAGAGGCACTTACTTCTTGCTTGCAGTTACACACATTATCAGATATTTACTTGACTTGCCACTTGAACCAATTCCAGAATTGGTTTGACTGGATCGCACAGATGTGCCTGTCTATCCTAAGCCTGCTTGTGGGTTTGTGGGGTTTTTTTAAATGCTCTTCTACCCCAGATTTTTTTTTTTTTCTCCCCCAGAAATATATCATGATTCTTACTGTACTGCTTCCCTGGGAGTGGTGACAGAAGGAGGGCAACAAAAAAGTCAAGTGTGTTATATGCAAAGGGTCATGTGGACCCTCACCAAGTACTGTGAGTACTCCTAGTGCTCACAATAGTGTTCCCACTTCATCAGTGGTTTTGGAGCTGTAGCTATAGAAAATATGAACATTGTCCAAGATGAGTCTGAGTCCAGTTTCTAATAGTCACAAGCCAAAGCACCTAAAAACCCCCGGTTTAAATGCAGCATTATACTTCTGAAATTCTTATTCACCTTCAGCCCAGTTTAGAGAGGGCTTTCTATAAACTATTTTTGGATAGTCTGTGTTGTTGTGGCCAGTATTCTCAGTGTTTAAAATCACAGCAGGCTGCGATGAGGAGAGTGTTGTCTCCAGGCCACCACACTCTTAATAGGAGTAACTGTAAGATACCATTCTCTGATAGTTTTAGGTACTCCCATAAAATCTAGGTCAATTTTTGCCTTGCTTCCCATTAGAAGGGGTTTCAGTCATACCAGCAGGTCAAATCACAAATTCACCACTGTGATAGCACAAGCTATGCTCTTGTTTCCAGGCTGAGAGAATTGGCAGTGGCTGAATCTCTCCTGTCATCCCTGGAAGCCATCCCTCACAAGCAGAAATGATACACATTGGCAGCACATTGCCATGATCCTGTAACACTCTTGCCTTTTTGTTCCCATGGTAGGTGAAGAGGATTTGTATCCAACACTTTCTGAGCATTAAGCGCACTCTAAAGAGTTGAAAAGGAAAAGCACAGCAGACTTAATTTTATCAGTCAATTCTTCTTTTACAGCATTGCAAGTCAAACAAACAACCCTTCCTTAACTGGGATGGTTCTGGAACAGGCCAGTGAAATAAATTTATGTCTTCAGTAAGTGGAGATAGCTGTCCCCTACTGAGTCACCCTCTGTTTGCACCTGAATCATCTCCTGTGCATCTGTTTTTTCTCCTACTCAATGCAAACAGCAGTTGCATTTTCTGTTATGATGCTGTGCAAAAACATGCAACCACAAAAGCAAACAATGATACTCATGATGAGGTAGCACTGGGCTGTTAATATCCTGAGATGCATCTAACTTTGCAGTGATCATTTTAACAGGACATGACTGTAAAAAATGCCTGTTATGCTTCCTCCCGGCTGCAGGGTAGCATCACACCCCATTATGCAGACTGCAGATGTGGTTCCAAAGGGAAGGGAAGGAGGATTGAGTTCACTGGTGCTCTTTTCTAAGAAATCAGTTTACAGGATGTGTCCCTTGCCCTTGACAGAACCATAACTCCCTGAGATGCAGAGCATTCATATCTCTCATGTTCGTGGCCTGGTCAAAATGCTTTCACCAGTGACAGTCCCTGAATGATGATGATAGTTTATACAAGTTATCCCGTGATATGTTTACTATGTTCAACGGAGAAAACTGCCCACAGAGACCTCACAAAGCCCAAAATAACCATTGGTGTCACTTCACTGTAGTCAGTAAAATGACATCAAGGATGCATCTGGCCTACTGTTTTTGGTGGAGCGCTGTACTTTCACATGGCCCATAGGTCATGTCTGGAATGTCTTTAGAAGTTGCAGTACAGCATGGGTAAGCCACACTTATAAAACTGCCTAATATTTTTTTCTGGAGGGAGGATATTACTGCCAAACTACTTGGTACAACTCTTCAACTCACTGGTGGTGGGAAAGGACGCTTCTTGTTATCAAGGAGCAATGTGTTGGCTGCATGCACAAATGCTGCAAGCTTCGTCAAAGCTTCTGTAGAGCATTTACAGCAGCTTCACAAATAGAGCTTGTTCAGATTCCACTGATTACTCATTTTTGCAATGATTTACTGAATTTGGACTAACACTGGGAATTTTCACTGTGATGATACAAGCCTTTGACAGCAGTGTAAGTCAGATCTTCCAAGCCTTGTTAGAAAAATCTCCTTAGCAGAGAGTAATAATTTATCAAGTATTAATCACTTTAAGCTATGTTGAGGCTGGCCCAGCAAAACAAACCATAGGATATTACTGATGCAAATAATGTATTAATGAAAACGCAGAGATCTGCAGAAGTGCTTAGGATCTGCTGTTTAGCTGTCACAGTGCCTTTTCACTGAATGAAGATAGACAAGGAACAAGCCAAACACCAGCCAGAATGTCATCTTACCCAGTGGATTTTTAACCCAGCTCTGTCAAATGTTTGTACCCTCCCCTGAGGACAAGGAGGGCCTGTGTAATGGATTAAGACTGGTCTGGTCAGTCACGACCAGCCCTTGATTAGAAGGGAATTGATTAATTTAAGGAACTTTGAGAACAGGGTTTCCAAAGCAAGGCTTAGCAAAATAGAAGGCAAGTTTACACAATCCTATGGCAATATACTATGACCGGACAAATTCTTTCAGTTGTAATACTTTTCATGGTAACCTGGCATAGGCATGACATCATTTCATTCAACGTTGTGAACACCTGACATTTTCACACAGCATAGCTCACTGCATGGAAACCCTTAAAAACATTGTGTGCATTAAGAACCTTTACAACCAAAACGTGATACCTGCAAAGAGGTGGGTGCCACACAGTTTATGGGTTCTGTCATCCTGGTTTCAGGCTCCTGAGTATGGCACATGTGGTAGTCTTGCCCATAAAATGCTGACTGAATACTTATTGTTGAAT